GGGTAAGGAGCATGATCTACTTATCTCTCTCTCTCTATATATATATATATATAAAGAGCGACTGATGTGCTTAGCTTTTTGGTAAGATTTGTAATGTAAGAAAATTCCAGTCCGAATAAATATAAATCTGCAATTTATGGGTTAAAGTTACCTCTCATTGGAATTCTCTTTCTATTGGAAGATATGTTGACCAAGTTACACAAATGTGTTGTCAAGTGAAAATTATGTAACATGCAAGAATTAGTTTAATGTGAAACGGTGTTAATTTTTGTGGATGATATTGTCAAAGAAAGTTCCGTGTTTACTGATGCAGTATAGTAACTTACCAGAATTATTTAAAAACCTTGAAAGTTTTGATTGAAGACTCTTTTCAATAGAACTAGTGAAAAAACCCCTATTGAAACCAATAGGGATATCATTGTGTAGTTTTCATCTCCTTTTATCAGGGAGACTTAAATGGACACAGTACAATCTAGAGTGGTGAAAATATCAATTGGAAGTGTAGATTTGTACACTCTGTTTTTAATACTGGAGGTTACACGTATTCCATGCTCAAAGTAAGAAATTTACTGCCATTGCTCTGTCAATTTATTTTCCTTACTTCTTCCCTTTCTTTTTGGAAATTGGATAAGGATGCATGTGGCAGTAATTAGTTATCCATGATTTTGAGAGAAATTAGCCATAGATATTGCGTCTGACTTGTTGTCATAGTGGAAGAAGGAGAAGAGCAACTTGCCTCTTTCACCATTCTACCATGACTTGACCCTTCTCTCATTAACTCACCATCTGCTAAATATTGTGTAAAGGCAGTAACAGCTATATTTTCTAGGCAGCTGTAAATACCATACTTAAAACCTTAACACATTTTCCACTCTATTTTCATCCATGGTGAGCTCCTGACAGCCAAGAAGCATAACTGGTTCAGAAAAGATACTTCCATAGATACCACACTCTTACCAACCCCATAACCTTTCAGAAAAACATATCAGATGTCAATGTCAGAAGGAGTCTAAACTTACTTCAAGTATCTCGTCTACCACCAATTCTAAAGGTAGTCTGGAAGAAGGTTTGAAAGGTGAAGACCCTTAGAGAATTCTTTTTCCATTATTCATGCACCTACAACTGTTACATTAACTTTTTTGGCCATCAAGACAGAGACAAAATAATTTCAGTTTTTTTCATCTGATTGTTTTATGGACTACAATCAACTATTCTCAGGTGGATATCAAAGTGTCTCTACATTAGTCTGGCAGTACATAATTCAGACAGATAATATTCATTATGTGATGCTACACCATTTCTCTTCTAATTTTCTTGACCATCTTCTGTCTCTTTTTAACCAAATTTGGCAGGGGAATGTTTTCTGATTTATGGAATTGAGCTTTTGTCATTAACTTTTCAGAACCGGGGAATAGTCTATTGATTCCATCTAATTATAGATCTATTGCTTTGACTAGCTGTCTATATGAGATTTTTGAGATGATGGTTAATGCTCGTCTTATCTGGTTCATCAAATGAAATATCCTCCTCTCCAACAGCACCCAGTAGGATTTTTTCAGAAAAAGATACACCACATAACACCTGACTCGATTTGAATTGTCAACCTGAGAAACATTTTTCAAAGGGAGCATTTTGTTTCTATAGTTTTGTCATGTTGAGGAAACGTATGATACCACATGAAAATTAATACTTTTTAGGGATTGTGTGGACACTTATCCATTTTTATGTATAGCTTTTGTTTTAACAGAAAGTCCATTCTGCATCCACATATAATCAATACTATACCAATCCTTCACACAGGACCAACTATTTCCAATAGCTGCAAACAGCCTCAATGTTGGTAAATTTCAGAATTAACGTCAGTCATGTTATATTGTGTGGTAGCTCCAAATTGTCCCATGTGAGTGGACCATTGCAAATGGTTTTACAACTTCAAATCTAAAACCAGCTGCTTGCATATTTGCCAATAACGGGGATTACACCATAATTCAAAGCTCAATCTGAAAGGTACACAAAATTCAGGTACGGCTAAGATTAAGTTCTTAGGGTTTCTTCTTGCAAATACCCTGGGATGAGTGTGGTCCAATGGTTAGTGTGCTCCATTGTGGATCTGAGGTTTCTTTGTTTTCACTTCATTACCGCAAAAAGAAATGTCGCACTCTTATCTTTGGGACTATGAGTATACTATAAGAGTGGTCGAATTACACTATTTGGTCTGACAAGAGTAGCTCATGAGTAGGTGATGAGTTTGTTGACTAGATGTCTTTTCTCTGGTCTATCAGAATACACTCTATTTTTATCCATGGTGAGCTCCCGACAGCTAAGTAGCATAAAATCCAACAAAATCAAAAGTGTAAAATAAGGCACCGAACATTCTCTGTGTTATGTCTTTCACTTCTTGGAAAGTGGATAGATATTAGATGATCTAGAATCATTATGTCCTCATCTGATCCAACTTGGACTATGTATCTCTGGTTGGTGCTTCGGGAAAATAATTTTACCATGAAGATGTTGATCCTATGCATCATCAGCGGATTTCTATGATTATTTAGCCAGAATATATACACACAAAGTTCTGTAAATCTCTTCTTTACATTACACATTTGCAATCTTCGTTGAAGTATGCTGTAAAGCTCTAACCACTACTTCGGCATTCTATCTAGCAGTATTTCTTCATGCCTTTTGGGCTATGCTTTTTGCAAATATATGGTCTGCTATTCCCATCTTTGGCATTCAAGTCCAGGGAAAGTTTAATGAGATAGACCTTTCATTGGATAACACTGCTGAATCTGATGATCAGACCCAATCCCTTGATCTATAGATTTTAATTAGTCCGACATGTCTTTGTATAAGCCGGATATTACTGACTGGAGTATAAAGTTCTGTTTAAATGAGCACCTCTCACGCCATCCTTCTGTATCTGTTTTTACGGATAGCTGAAAATCAGGTGATTACGTGAGTTCTGCCAATGTTGGTGTTGCTCAACTGTTTCTCACAGGATCCTCTGTAGAGATTCTCCATTCACTAATGATTAATATGTGATATACTTTCAATAACTGCCTGTCTAGTTTGTGCAGTAATCGGAAGTAGAAAGTTGTCTTGAAAAGGAATTGGCCATAGTCTTTTGACTGACGGTTTTCTTTTGCGAGGGAATGATCTACCAGAACGTGAGCCGATCTTTTAATTTCATGTTGTCACTATGTCATTCAGCGACAGCTTTGGTTTAAACATGTTTTTACTCGTAGTGTCCCCATAACTGTGGACAGAGTCGTTGGAGATGATTATACTACAAAGTTCGACAATGACTTTAGTTACTTATGGGCCATAGGGATTTTTCATTCTATTTAATATTTTAACTTTAGATAATCTTGTTTATTGTATTTTTTTCAATTATATCTTAAAGTTACTGACTTTTAGTTGATATTAATATGCTGCAAATAAGTCTGGCGTGGATTGCTAAGGCAGCTTTATGCGAAAGAACCTTTAAGTAACAACTCCCTGTAGCTGACCTATCACCAGAAATATTAATTCAATACACAATTTGTTTGAAAGCGAAATTCCCTAGTTAGGAAGATTTGTAGGGGTAAAACAGGTATTGTCTGACTTAATATTTCAACAAACTTTTTTTAAGTCTAGGGTAGAAATTTCACTCTTCGCCAGCCTAAGCGTTTAATACCATAATATATATTTTTTTATCTTTAAGAAAATGCCTGGTAATAAAACTCAAAATATAAAAATCCATTTGTATTGCATTTTTACATTGCATTTTGTATTTATGGCAAAGCAACCAAAGCCATCTGCCGCCGTTTACAATTTTAAATTACTGTCGAGAGATTGAAATTTTAGTCCTACTGCTCCAAATTATTGTCGAGATAAAAGGCAGCCAGTCAACAGTATCCACAATCCATGATAAAGGTTTGACTATCACTTTTATAAGGCACGCATACAGTAAAGTGTGGAGATTATATTTTGTGTTTGTTTGTTTTTGAATTTCGCGCAAAGCTACACGAGGACTATCTGCGCTAGCGTCCCAATTTAGCA